TTGTTACTGAGGGACACAGAATTGTTACTCAGGGACACAGAATTGTTACTCAGGGACACAGAATTGTTACTGAGGGACACAGAATTGTTACTGGGGCACAGAACAGAATTGTTACTTAGGGCAGACACAGAATTGTTACTTAGGGCCACAGAATTGTTACTTAGGGCCACAGAATTGTTACTCAGGACTCAGGGACACAGAATTGTTACTGAGGGGACACAGAACAGAATGTTACTTAGGGCCACAGAACAGAAACGTTACTCAGGGACACAGAATTGTTACTGAGGGCCACAGAACTGTTACTTAGGGCCACAGAAACGTTACTAGGGCCACAGAATTGTTACTCAGGGACAGACACAGAATTGTTACTGAGGGACACAGAATTGTTACTGAGGGCCACAGAACCGTTACTTAGGGCCACAGAAATGTTACTCAGGGACAGACACAGAATTGTTACTGAGGGCCACAGAATTGTTACTGAGGGGCAGAATTGTTACTTAGGGCCACAGAATTGTTACTCAGGGACACAGAATTGTTACTGAGGGGCCACAGAATTGTTACTTAGGGCCACAGAATTGTTACTGAGGGCCACAGAATTGTTACTTAGGGCCACAGAATTGTTACTCAGGGACACAGAATTGTTACTGAGGGCCACAGAAACTGTTACTTAGGGCCACAGAATTGTTACGTTACTCAGGGACACACAGAATTGTTACTGAGGGCCACAGAACCGTTACTTAGGGCTTAGGGCACAGAATTGTTACTCAGGGACAGGACACAGAATTGTTACTGAGGGACACAGAATTGTTACTGAGGGACCACAGAAGAACTGTTACTTAGGGCCACAGAATTGTTACTCAGGGACACAGAATTGTTACTGAGGGCCACAGAATTTACTTAGTTAATGTTACTCAGAACAGAATTGTTACTCAGGGACACAGAATTGTTACTGAGGGCCACAGAATTGTTACTGGGGGCCACAGAATTGTTACTTAGGGCCACAGAATTGTTACTCAGGGACAGACACAGAATTGTTACTCAGGGACAGACACAGAATTGTTACTGAGGGACACAGAATTGTTACTGAGGGCCACAGAAATTGTTACTTAGGGCCACAGAAATTGTTACTCAGGGACACACAGAATTGTTACTCAGGGCCACAGAATTGTTACTGAGGGCCACAGAAACTGTTACTCAGGGGACACAGAATTGTTACTCAGGGACACAGAATTGTTACTCAGGGACAGACACAGAATTGTTACTCAGAGGTTAGACACGAATTGTTACTGAGGGCCACAGAATTGTTACTAGGGCCACAGAAACGTTACTCAGGGACACACAGAATTGTTACTCAGGGACAGACACAGAATTGTTACTACTGGGGACACACAGAATTGTTACTGAGGGACACAGAAATTGTTACTTAGGGCCACAGAAAAATTGTTACTCAGGGACACAGAATTGTTACTCAGGGACAGACACAGAATTGTTACTGAGGGGACACACAGAATTGTTACTCAGGGCCACAGAATTGTTACTGAGGGCCACAGAAACGTGTTACTTAGGGCCACAGAATTGTTACTCAGGGACAGACACAGAATTGTTACTCAGGGACAGAACACTACTGAGGGAACAGAATTGTTACTGAGGGACAGAACAGAATTGTTACTGAGGGACACAGAATTGTTACTCAGGGACACAGAATTGTTACTGAGGGCCACAGAATTGTTACTGAGGGACACAGAATTGTTACTCAGGGACACAGAAATTGTTACTCAGGGACAGAATTGTTACTCAGGGACAGACACAGAATTGTTACTGAGGGCACAGAATTGTTACTTAGGGCCACAGAATTGTTACTCAGGGGACACAGAATTGTTACTCAGGGACAGACACAGAATTTTACTCAGGGACAGACACAGAAATTGTTACTCAGGGACACAGAATTGTTACTGAGGGACAGAATTGACACAGAATTGTTACTCAGGGGACACAGAATTGTTACTGAGGGACACAGAATTGTTACTGAGGGACACAGAATTGTTACTGAGGGACACAGAATTGTTACTGAGGGACAGGGGGGACACACAGAATTGTTACTGAGGGCCACAGAACTGTTACTTAGGGCCACAGAAACTGTTACTTAGGGCCACAGAAACGTTACTCAGGGACACAGAATTGTTACTCAGGGACACAGAATCGTTTAATTAAAGAGTATGTCAGACAACAATGCAGAGGAGTGGCAGAGGAGGCCAATGTTTTAGGAGCGAGCAGACGTGGCAGCAGAGGAAGGAAGGGGTCGAGGCAGCACTATTCGCAGCCAGAGGCTAGTGCTCCCGGTGTCATCCAGTACAGTGAGGAAGAGCTAACAGAGGGCGGTCAGGAACGGGGGGAGACATCCGCCTCTTCAGCAGCCCAGGCCAAGAAGTAGTGGCGAGGGAGTGGCTCGGTAGCCGGTCTAGAGACACAGGTCTGTCTCCTGACCCACACACGCAGCCGAGGGTGGGCTAGTTGAGGCGGGACCCATAATTGATGATGATGCCCCTGATCGCACTTACTTGGCAGCCTCGTCGTCATCAGGCTATTGCTTCCGCATCATCAGGAGAAGAGGGTGGCAGTACTTGGCAGCGAGCAAAACACAGGTGGGTTGTCTCCATCGCCACACTCTGCCATGTGCCACTTTCAGGTCTCCTCACACACTGCTGGTGTGTTGAATTTTTTGACATAGGGTGCTGCTGGCAGATTACGGGCCTCCCATAGCTGCTGCCAGGCCCCTAATCTGCCATAGGCCCCTATTATACCGCCTCCTCATGCTGCTGCCAAGTCCAGAGTCAGAGTCTCTCATGGGTCCCTGTACGGCCTCCCATTGCTGCTGTCTCCATCGCCACACTCTGCCATGTGCCACTTTCAGGTCTCCTCACACACTGCTGGTGTGTTGAATTTTTTGACATAGGGTGCTGGCAGATTACGGGCCTCCCATAGCTGCTGCCAGGCCCCTAATCTGCCATAGGCCCCTATATACCGCCTCCTCATGCTGCTGCCAGGTCCAGAGTCTGTCATGGGTCCCTGTACGGCCTCCCATTGCTGCTGTCTCCATCGCCACACTCTGCCATGTGCCACTTTCAGGTCTCCTCACACACTGCTGGTGTGTTGAATTTTTTGACATAGGGTGCTGGCAGATTACGGGCCTCCCATAGCTGCTGCCAGGCCCCTAATCTGCCATAGGCCCCTATATACCGCCTCCTCATGCTGCTGCCAGGTCCAGAGTCTGTCATGGGTCCCTGTACGGCCTCCCATTGCTGCTGTCTCCATCGCCACACTCTGCCATGTGCCACTTTCAGGTCTCCTCACACACTGCTGGTGTGTTGAATTTTTTTGACATAGGGTGCTGGCAGATTACGGGCCTCCCATAGCTGCTGCCAGGCCCCTAATCTGCCATGGGCCCCTATATACCGCCTCCTCATGCTGCTGCCAAGTCCAGAGTCTGTCATGGGTCCCTGTACGGCCTCCCATTGCTGCTGTCTCCATCGCCACACTCTGCCATGTGCCACTTTCAGGTCTCCTCACACACTGCTGGTGTGTTGAATTTTTTGACATAGGGTGCTGGCAGATTACGGGCCTCCCATAGCTGCTGCCAGGCCCCTAATCTGCCATAGGCCCCTATATACCGCCTCCTCATGCTGCTGCCAGGTCCAGAGTCTGTCATGGGTCCCTGTACGGCCTCCCATTGCTGCTGTCTCCATCGCCACACTCTGCCATGTGCCACTTTCAGGTCTCCTCACACACTGCTGGTGTGTTCAATTTTTTGACATAGGGTGCTGGCAGATTACGGGCCTCCTATAGCTGCTGCCAGGCCCCTAATCTGCCATGGGCCCCTATATACCGCCTCCTCCTCATGCTGCTGCCAAGTCCAGAGTCTGTCATGGGTCCCTGTACGGCCTCCCATTGCTGCTGTCTCCATCGCCACACTCTGCCATGTGCCACTTTCAGGTCTCCTCACACACTGCTGGTGTGTTCAATTTTTTGACATAGGGTGCTGGCAGATTACGGGCCTCCCATAGCTGCTGCCAGGCCCCTAATCTGCCATAGGCCCCTATATACCGCCTCCTCATGCTGCTGCCAGGTCCAGAGTCTGTCATGGGTCCCTGTACGGCCTCCCATTGCTGCTGTCTCCATCGCCACACTCTGCCATGTGCCACTTTCAGGTCTCCTCACACACTGCTGGTGTGTTTCAATTTTTTGACATAGGGTGCTGGCAGATTACGGCCTCCCATAGCTGCTGCCAGGCCCCTAATCTGCCATAGGCCCCTATATACCGCCTCCTCATGCTGCTGCCAGTCCAGAGTCTGTCATGGGTCCCTGTACGGCCTCCCATTGCTGCTGTCTCCATCGCCACACTCTGCCATGTGCCACTTTCAGGTCTCCTCACACACTGCTGGTGTGTTGAATTTTTTGACATAGGGTGCTGGCAGATTACGGGCCTCCCATAGCTGCTGCCAGGCCCTAATCTGCCATAGGCCCCTATATACCGCCTCCTCATGCTGCTGCCAGGTCCAGAGTCTGTCATGGGTCCCTGTACGGCCTCCCATTGCTGCTGTCTCCATCGCCACACTCTGCCATGTGCCACTTTCAGGTCTCCTCACACACACTGCTGGTGTGTGTTGAATTTTTTGACATAGGGTGCTGGCAGATTACGGGCCTCCCATAGCTGCTGCCAGGCCCCTAATCTGCCATAGGCCCCTATATACCGCCTCCTCATGCTGCTGCCAGGTCCAGAGTCTGTCATGGGTCCCTGTACGGCCTCCCATTGCTGCTGTCTCCATCGCCACACTCTGCCATGTGCCACTTTCAGGTCTCCTCACACACTGCTGGTGTGTTCAATTTTTTTGACATAGGGTGCTGGCAGATTACGGGCCTCCCATAGCTGCTGCCAGGCCCCTAATCTGCCATAGGCCCCTATATACCGCCTCCTCATGCTGCTGCCAGGTCCAGAGTCTGTCATGGGTCCCTGTACGGCCTCCCATTGCTGCTGTCTCCATCGCCACACTCTGCCATGTGCCACTTTCAGGTCTCCTCACACACTGCTGGTGTGTTGAATTTTTTGACATAGGGTGCTGGCAGATTACGGGCCTCCCATAGCTGCTGCCAGGCCCCTAATCTGCCATAGGCCCCTATATACCGCCTCCTCATGCTGCTGCCAGGTCCAGGCGAACGTAGTCACACACTGTCTGGAACTTCTCAGTGTAATGAACAGAGAAATCGACAGATGGCTGTCTCCGCGCAAACTGAAAATCGGAACCATGTTGACCGACAACGGAAAGAACATGGTGTCTGCTCTGCGTCAAGTAAGGTTGTGCCATGCGCCATGCATGGCTCACGTGTTCAATCTGGTTGTCAAGCGGTTCCTAAAATCCACCATCCCACTGCAAGACATCCTTAAAATGTCACGTAAACTTTGCATGCATTTCTTCCATTCCTACACCGCAAAGCACACCCTCCTTGAGCTGCAGCGGCAGAACGAACGGAATTGCACAGCATCGCCTGATCTGCGACGTTGCAACAAGGTGGAATTCAACCCTACACATGTTAGACCGCCTTTACGAACAGCGAAAGGCCATCACCGATTTCCTGATGTTACAAGCGGATAAAGGTACTCCCTGTGTAACTTAGATGTCAGCCATTGGCAGCTCATGCGTGACACCTGCGCTTGCTCAGGCCCTTTGAGGAGGCCACGCTATTCGTGAGTCGGCAGGACTATGGGATGAACGACGTCATTCCTCTGTTGCACGTCCTGGAACAAATGCTGTTAACAATGGCTGGTCAGGGTGCGGTAGACGTGGCGCACAGATCTCAACGCCACATGACCCCTGTGGGGGCAGGACAGGAAGAAGAGAGGAGGAGGTAGAGGAGGACATTTGTGCTCAGGAATTATTGAGTGAAATGGGTGGTTTTTCCACTCAGCGGACAGGAGTGGAGGAGCAGGAGCATCTGGTAGAGGAGGAGGAGGAGACAGAGGACCCAGACGCACCGTGGCAGTATGCTGTGGAGATGGAGGCAGGGAGTCCCTCGCATTCCTTGGCACAAATGGCCCATAGCATGCTCGCTTGCTTGCGTAGCGACAGCCGAATAATAACCATCAGACAGAGGGATGACTTTTGGCTGTCCACCTTGTTGGACCCTCGCTACCGTTCAAAAATGGTGGCCTTTTTCACCTGCTGAGAGGGAGGCCAAAATAACGTACTATAAAAACCACCTATGTAGTCAGCTGGTCTCTGCCTGTCTGCGCCAACGTCCATCCTCAGACACTGTGGGCCCTGTGCGCTCGCGTTCCGCTGCCATGGCAGCAGGGGAGGGGTGGGGTGGTAGGAGCAGTGGCAGCTCCACCAGCAGCGGCTGCCTCAGTCTGCAGTCGATGATGAGTAGCTTTCTTCACCAGCGCAGTGAGGAAACTACTAACCAGCCGCAGCAGCAGCAGCATCAGGTGGACCTGGAGCAGGACCTCAAACAACAGGCTTAGGCCTACTTGGACAGCACCCTGCCAACCGAGGTAGACAATCCCCTTGACTACTGGGCAACGAAACTTGACCTTTGGCCCCAACTAGCTGAATTTGCCCTTGAAAGGCTGTCATGCCCGGCCAGTAGCGTGGGCATCGGAGCGCGTGTTTAGTGCGGCAGGAGGTATTGCAACTCCGCGGAGGACACGACTGTCCACCCAAAGTGTGGAGAGACTCACGTTTGTGAAAATGAATCAGGCGTGGATTAGTCTGGATTTCAAACCACCAGTTCCTGACACAACTGACTAAATCCGCCATGAATCATGCCTCAAACATGTGCCACTTTCAGGTCTCCTCACACACTGCTGGTGTGTTCCATTTTTTGTCATAGGGTGCTGGCAGATTACGGGCCTCCCATAGCTGCTGCCAGGCCCCTAATCTGCCATAGGCCCCTATATACCGCCTCCCTCATGCTGCTGCCAAGTCCAGAGTCTGTCATGGGTCCCTGTACGGCCTCCCATTGCTGCTGTCTCCATCGCCACACTCTGCCATGTGCCACTTTCAGGTCTCCTCACACACTGCTGGTGTGTTGAATTTTTTGACATAGGGTGCTGGCAGATTACGGGCCTCCTATAGCTGCTGCCAGGCCCCTAATCTGCCATAGGGCCCCTATATACCGCCTCCTCATGCTGCTGCCAAGTCCAGAGTCTGTCATGGGTCCCTGTACGGCCTCCCATTGCTGCTGTCTCCATCGCCACACTCTGCCATGTGCCACTTTCAGGTCTCCTCACACACTGCTGGTGTGTTGAATTTTTTGACATAGGGTGCTGGCAGATTACGGGCCTCCTATAGCTGCTGCCAGGCCCCTAATCTGCCATAGGCCCCTATATACCGCCTCCTCATGCTGCTGCCAAGTCCAGAGTCTGTCATGGGTCCCTGTACGGCCTCCCATTGCTGCTGTCTCCATCGCCACACTCTGCCATGTGCCACTTTCAGGTCTCCTCACACTGCTGGTGTGTTGAATTTTTTGACATAGGGTGCTGGCAGATTACGGGCCTCCCATAGCTGCTGCCAGGCCCCTAATCTGCCATGGGCCCCTATATACCGCCTCCTCATGCTGCTGCCAAGTCCAGAGTCTCTCATGGGTCCCTGTACGGCCTCCCATTGCTGCTGTCTCCATCGCCACACTCTGCCATGTGCCACTTTCAGGTCTCTCCTCACACACTGCTGGTGTGTTGAATTTTTTGACATAGGGTGCTGGCAGATTACGGGCCTCCCATAGCTGCTGCCAGGCCCCTAATCTGCCATAGGCCCCTATATACCGCCTCCTCATGCTGCTGCCAAGTCCAGAGTCTGTCATGGGTCCCTGTACGGCCTCCCATTGCTGCTGTCTCCATCGCCACACTCTGCCATGTGCCACTTTCAGGTCTCCTCACACTGCTGGTGTGTTCCATTTTTTGTCATAGGGTGCTGGCAGATTACGGGCCTCCCATAGCTGCTGCCAGGCCCCTAATCTGCCATGGGCCCCTATACCGACTCCTCATGCTGTGACGTTGCAACAAGGTGGAATTCAACCCTACATATGTTAGACCGCCTTTACGAACAGCAAAAGGCCATCACAGATTTCCTGATGTTAAAAGCGGATAAAGGTACTCCCTGTGTAACTTAGATGTCAGCATTGGCAGCTCATGCGTGACACCTGCGCTTGCTCAGGCCCTTTGAGAGGCCACGCTATTCGTGAGTCGGCAGGACTATGGGATGAACGACGTCATTCCTCTGTTGCACGTCCTGGAACAAATGCTGTTAACAATGGCTGGTCAGGGTGCGGTAGACGTGGCGCACAGATCTCAACGCCACATGACCCCTGTGGGGGCAGGACAGGAAGAAGAGGAGGAGGTAGAGGAGGACATTGGTGCTCAGGAATTATTGAGTGAAATGGGTGGTTTTTCCACTCAGCGGACAGGAGTGGAGGAGCAGGAGCATCTGGTAGAGGAGGAGGAAGAGGAGACAGAGGACCCAGACGCACCGTGGCAGTATGCTGTGGAGATGGAGGCAGGGAGTCCCTCGCATTCCTTGGCACAAATGGCCCATAGCATGCTCGCTTGCTTGCGTAGCGACAGCCGAATAATAACCATCAGACAGAGGGATGACTTTTGGCTGTCCACCTTGTTGGACCCTCGCTACCGTTCAAAAATGGTGGCCTTTTTCACACCTGCTGAGAGGGAGGCCAAAATAACGTACTATAAAAACCACCTATGTAGTCAGCTGGTCTCTGCCTGTCTGCGCCAACGTCCATCCTCAGACACTGTGGGCCCTGTGCGCTCGCGTTCCGCTGCCATGGCAGCAGGGGAGGGGTGGGGTGGTAGGAGCAGTGGCAGCTCCACCAGCAGCGGCTGCCTCAGTCTGCAGTCGATGATGAGTAGCTTTCTTCACCAGCGCAGTGAGGAAACTACTAACCAGCCGCAGCAGCAGCAGCAGCATCAGGTGGACCTGGAGCAGGACCTCAAACAACAGGCTTAGGCCTACTTGGACAGCACCCTGCCAACCGAGGTAGACAATCCCCTTGACTACTGGGCAACGAAACTTGACCTTTGGCCCCAACTAGCTGAATTTGCCCTTGATAGGCTGTCATGCCCGGCCAAGTAGCGTGGCATCGGAGCGCGTGTTTTAGTGCGGCAGGAGGTATTGCAACTCCGCGGGCTGCCAGGCCCCTAATCTGCCATGGGCCCCCGTACCGACTCCTCATGCTGCTGCCAGGCCCGTAATCTGTCATGGGCCCCTGTTGTCGCTTGTTGGCATATTCCGCTCCTTCTCCTGCTACTTCTCCTCTTCACGGATTCAGTCAGCAGTCTTTCTTGGAATCCGTTTCCAAGAGACAACAGTTTGCGAGCACGCACCCGACGGTGCAGAAGCTGAAACGTCCTCCTGTCCAAGTTGCTGCTGCCAGGCTCGTAATCTGTCATGCGCCCCTGTACCGCCTCCTCATGCTGCTGCCAGGTCCAGAGTGTGTCATGGGCCCCCGTACCGACTCCTCATGCTGCTGCCAGGCCCGTAATCTGTCATGGGCCCCTGTACCGCCTCCCCATGCTGCTGCCAGGTCCAGAGTGTGTCATGGGTCCCTGTACGGCCTCCCATTGCTGCTGCCAGGCCCGTAATCTGCCATGGGCCCCCGTACCGACTCCTCATGCTGCTGCCAGGCCCGTAATCTGTCATGGGCCCCTGTACCGCCTCCTCATGCTGCTGCCAGGTCCAGAGTGTGTCATGGGTCCCTGTACGGCCTCCCATTGCTGCTGTCTCTATCGCCACACTCTGCCATGTGCCACTTTCAGGTCTCCTCACACTGCTGGTGGTTTCCATTTTTGTCATAGGGTGCTGTATGGCCTCCCATTGCTGCTGCCTCCACCGCCACACTGTGGCTCCACACTCTGGTTTTGGCCCCGTGACTGCCCAAATGAGTGAAGTGTGCGGTGATTCTAAGATCGACGGCACTCATCTGCATGTCATACTGACTGACAGTATTATTTCTCTTCCCCAGCAGTCTCCAAGGGCATTTAAATTAAAGGTACAGTGTTCTGCACTAATATTAAGTCTCTCTGAAGCCTAGAAACACCCTTTTTTAAGTTAAATTCACAGCGAATATATTCGACTCGAATCGAAACTTTTCCACGAATTCGCCGAATCAGTCGAATCGAATTTTTGAATACTTCGCTCATCTCTACTCATGACCTCTGATAGAGACCCAATTTTTTGACACTGGGCCCTACGTTGTACCCCAGAATTCTTTGATAGTCTTCAGAGTTCATAAGGCCATGCATACAGTCAAAACATCCAGTGCCTGAAGCAACAAAGCAACCCCAAAACATCAGTGAACCTCCACCATGTTTGAGTATAGGGACTGTATTCTTTTCTTTAAAGGTCTAATTTCTTTATCTGAAAGCAGTAGAATGATGGGCTTTACCAAAAAGCTGTAATTTTGTTTCGTTCGTCCACAGCACATTCTTCCAAAAGGATTTTGGCTTCCTGAGGTACGTTTTGGCAAACTCCAATCTGGCTTTTTTATGTTTCTGTGTCAGCAGTGGGTTCCTCCTGTGTCTCCTACCATAGCGTCCCTTGGCCATAGCTTACCATGGCGGCGTAAAGTGCGAGCTGACACAGTTGGACCCGGTGCCTGAAGGTCAGCTTTAATTTGTCTGGAAGTTGATCAAGGTTCTTTAGCCACTATTTGAACAATCCTTTGTTGCATTTTGAATTTTTCTCTTTCATCCACATCCAGGGAGATTAGCTACAGTACCATGGGCTGTAAACTTCTTGACAATGTTGCGCAAAGTACATAAAGAAACATTAAGATCTCTGGAGATGGACTTGTAACCTTGAGATTGCCCATGGTTTTCCACAATTTTTGTTTTAAAATCCTAAAACAATTCTTTGCTGTACTTTCTCTTCTCCACGCTCCATGTGGCACACAGAGACACACAACATAAAAGTTGAGTCAATTGTACACCATTTTAACAAGTTGCCGGTGTCATTTCTATATTTTCAGCACCTGTTAATTAATACTGGTGAGTTTAACTACAAATTACAGGAGCATCACAAGCTTGGAATGCAATTATTTCTTACAATTTTAAGAAGGTACCAATAATTTTCTCCAGTCCATTTTTGGGGTTTTGCCTGAAATGTGTCAGATTTGGCTTTTTGTTTCTCCAATTTCTTGTGTCATACCAATACAAACAAAAGAAATAAACATTTGTAATTGCAACAATTTTCAATTTTCTGGGCGAATTGGTGCATCTGCCAGAAATGCAGGGTTGTTAATCAGTTTCAGCTGCTTTGGTGCTAATGACATTTAGAACAGGTGCACTAGATGGGCAACAATGAAACAACCCCCAAAACAGGAATGGTTTTACAGGTGGAGACTACTGACATTTTTTCCCTACTCATCTTTTCTGACTGTTTTTCACTAGTTTTGCATTTAGCTAGGATCAGTGTCACTACTGGTAGCATGAGGAGATATCTGGACCCTACAGAGGTTGCACAGGCAGTCCAATTCCTCCAGGATGGCACATCAATATGTGCCATTGTTGGAAGGTCTCAAGAGTGTGGAGGAGATTACAGGAGACAGGCAGTTACTCTAGGAGAGCTGGACAGGGCTGTAGAAGGTCCTCAACCCATCAGCAGGACCGATATATGCTTCTTTGTGCAAGGAGGAACAGGATGAGCATTGCCAGAGCCCTACAAAATGACCTCCAGCAGGCCACTGGTGTGAATGTCTCTGACCAAACAATCAGAAACAGACTTCATGAGGGTGGCCTCTAGTGGGCCCTGTGCTCGCTGCCCAGAACCATAGAGCTCAATTGGCATTTACCAACACCAGATTTGGCAGGTCCGCCACTGGTGCCCTGCACTTTTCACAGATGAGAGCAGGTTCACCCTGAGCACATGCGGCAGATGGCAGATGTGAAAGGGTCTGGCGAACGTTACACGCCTGTAACATCATTCAGCATGACCGTTTTGGTGGTGGATCAGTGATGGTCTGTGGAGGCATATCCATGGAGGGATGCACAGATCTCTACAGGCTAGACAATGGCACCCTGACTGCCATTAGGTATCGGGATGA